CCTATATTTTTAAGTAATTATATTATCCATGCATGTTTAGTTTAACAGCAACTAAACTAGAAAAGTTTATTAAGATGGTAATTGGAAAAATATTAAAAAGTTAGTAACTTTTCGTAATGAGTTTATTCAAATTATTAACTTTTATATGTATGATAAAAAATTAATAATAAAAATGCATCTTGTAATTCAATATATTATCATAATTCATTTTTTAAAAAAGTATTATTTTTACATTTAAATTCAAGGCAAAAATATTTTACTTCTGAAACCAATAAACATTAATAAAAATGTGTATCAATTATTAACCTAATGTTAAAAATGCTAATATTACCCTTTATTTATAAAACCCCTCAACTTTCCTAGTCAAGGGATGAAAATAAATTAAAGTTTCCTAATCAAACACACCCTTAACAAACACAAGCAGGAAGATCGGACGTTTGTTTGGATGTGTTGAAAACTCTGCTGCCAAACCAACGAAACCCCAGAGCACGCCCAGCCACGGCAGCCAAGAGCACGCCGCCGTTGAAGGACACGATCGCCAGCGCGCATCACCAGATACGCTAGACCCATCCGCATAGCATGCATCAGGGTCTGAATTAGACCGGCAGTCAGATGGGCGGCGCTGGGTTTGATGAAGCGGCCATGGTTGAGCAACTCAAGGAAAAAAACTAGCAAAAAAGTGATTACTGTAAAAATTATGTATATAGATTTTTTTTTTTTTGAAAAGCAATTGTGTATATAGATTTAATACAAGATTTGCAATTAATCTAAAATTAATTTATAATAAATGAAATAATTTATTTTATATTTAATTCATAAATTTCTTATTTTTAAACTAAATATAAGATTTTCTCATTTAACATGTTCCTCATGTGCAAATTCATTATGAATGTGAGTTATATCATATGAATTAACAAGTTCTTTAAATGCAAATTCGATACATTCAACTTCAAATCTTGTTAAGTGGAGTTTTCTAAAACAGAATTTAGATTTTGATATCATTTAAAAATTATGCATATTGATTTAATATAATGTTTACATCTAATCTAAAATCAATTGATAATAAATAAAGTAACCATTTTTATATTTAACGTATAAATTCTTTATTTTTATATATAACGTGGGATTTTCTCGCTTTAACAATTACAAGGGTCAGCACGTACATGTCGGAGTTGATGCCACGCCAGCCAGAGAAAGAACATCGGTGTTCCTGCCCCAGAAGAAGGTCATGTGCCTCATCATCTTGTGGCGGCGGTGCATCCTCATCCCTGTTGTTGTTGACGGTGACATTCCCAGTGGCATCCTCATGCCATCCATTTTGAACCCGATCCGTATAATTTTTTTTTTGATCAGCAAAGAAAAATTTATTTTGTGGAGCACAAGGGGTACTCCTACCCATTACAAATACAAAATCAGCTGGGATGTTACAAAGATCACAACAACTGGAACTTCAAAACACAATCGGCATCCTAAATTCAAATGAAACATTTTAACCAAAGAAGTAGACAGCCAAAGTACTACAAGAAACTGACGAACTTCCAGACTGCTGCGAAACGCTGATGGCACTCACTCCCCTCAAGTCTTACTCTGTCGCCATTCTTTTCTGCTGTTTGTGGACTAGCTTCAGCTCCCGTTTGTATCTTCTTATTGATGAAGCACACTCAACTGGATTTACTTTCCAGTCATGAAAAGAGAAAACACAGCCTTGTATCTTGTTTTTGATCCAAAAGAATGACTTGGCTTGAACCATATCTACTAATCTTCCCCTGATGTTATCTCCTCTATTAAACACCTTACCATTTCTCCAATACCAAAGATACCATGAGACAATAAGAAAGATGCAAGCCCCCATCTCCTTCCCTATTATCCTACCCACATCTTGTACAAAAATGTCTGCCACTCCTAATACATTATTAGGCATAACAGTCTCCATGCCCCACCACTTCAGAACCTCTACCCAAATAATCCAGGCTTCCTTACACATACAAAATAAGTGGTTGGCTTCTTCAACCATACTACCACACAAACCACACATTAACTCCTCCTCCTGCAGGAGAACCCCTCTTTTCATAATATTCCACTTAGTTGGTAACCTATCAAGGCATAGTCTCCATCCAAAAAAAGACACTTTGGATGGTACTAATCTACACCAAATTAGCTTGCTCAATTGGTCCTCTAAAATACTCTCGGTAGGAGCTAAAAATTCATAAGCCTTCCTCACCATGAAATTTCCCTCCGAATCATGGACCCACCTCCATAAGTCTTTCACACCTTTTTTTAATTGAATACTATCCAACCTCTCCCACAACACCTCCTCCTCATCCTTCTCTCGACCTATTCTCCCTCTCCTCCACTCCATTTTCCAGCTCCATTTTTCCCCCTCCCATACCCCCATATCACTAATATTTCCCAACTTGATCTTAGATAGCTCATACAACCTTGGGCATAAATCCCGTAAATTTTTATTCCCAACCCATAGATCTCTCCAAAAACTCACTCGGTTCCCTTCCCCCACTTCCCACCTGAAACCCTCCACTAACATATTTTTAAGCCTCCTAGAGCAACCCCCTATACTAATAATATCTTTCCATATTCTAGACGTTCTCCAATTCCCCACTGCTGTAATGTCTACCTCATCCCTGTTCCCCCCGTAATATTTCTCCGTCACAATTCTTTTCCATAAGCTCTCCACATCCTCTCCAAACCTATACCACCACTTCCCTAGCAAAGCCCAATTCTTCCTACGCAGGTCCGTTACCCCTAATCCCCCTTTTACCTTACTCCCGCACACCTTATCCCATTTCACCCACGAGATCTTCCTCTGCCCCTCTACCCCTCCCCATAGAAAATTTCTCTGAATACTAATCAATTCAATCATCACAGAATTTGGAATTAAAAACAACGACATATAAAAAATGGGTAGAGCAGAAAGTACCGAGTTGAGCAGAGTGAGGCGGCCACCAAAGGACAGCGAAGCAGCCTTCCAGACAGCAAGTTTGGCTCGAAATTTATTCACTAGCGGCTCCCATAACTTCTTATTCCCGGGATTTCCATCGACAGGCATTCCCAAATACCAAAAATGAGATTTCCCAACACCACAACGCAACATACTGGCTGATCCTTCTACCCATTTCGCTGGCACATTATACCCATAAATGTTACTCTTGCTAAAATTGATTTGCAGACTAGACATCAGTTCGAACCATCGCAGAATTGTTTTGACCATAAAAATGTTCTCTGTGGCAGCTTTTCCCATAATGATTGTGTCGTCTGCGAATTGAAGTAAAGAAATAGCTAATCCCCTCTTGCCAATCTCTATACCTCTCAACATACCCTCCGATACTGCTTTTTGGACCAAACCATTTAATCCCTCTCCAATCATCAAGAAAAG